GAGGAGCAAAAAGTTAAGCAAAACTAAATAGTGTCTGGTCACACATACACCCAAGGAGACCTCACAGAAAAAAGGGAAAGAAAGATAATGGAATTTTTCCACAGAATTTTTGAACTATCTCACCCATATTTCATGATAAAGCTATATAAAGATGATTCAAATTTACAGATAGTAGTTACTTATAAAGAGAAAAGATGCAAATGGGACTGACACTTCATGGGTGGGGGGGGGGATCTTGATTTTGATGAGGTTCTCTTTCACAAACCAGGTGGGTATTCAAAGTTGTTTAATTATTTCTTAATTGTGCCATCCTTTTATACATTGTTACATACATATTTCACACATACGTGGGCAAATGACCACTGGCAAAGAAACACATGAGTAAACACCATTCAGTTGGTCCAATCACAGCCCCATGGCTGTGAGGAGGGAGCAAGTAGCTGGTTTCCAGAGCACACACATCTTGCACAGCTGCAGCAAGAAAATTAGAAGATGGTCATGTGTCCCTTATGAAAAATCTCCCAGAATCTTGGTGGAGTCATCTACTTAATTTTCACAAAACCCAGCCACCTCACATCCCAGCTTATCTATCCAGCATCTCTGACCAGCCACCTCCTCCTCAGGGCTATTTGATCACACACTTCATGTTCTCTATAGCTTGTGAGAAAAGCTTATCACATGACCAGACCACAAGACTCCGGTACCCCCGGCCCTCAGTTAGCACTTGTACAGGTGATGTGACCAGACCTCCTTCTGTTCTGCCTTTCCTTCTCACTCTGAGGCTAGCTGCAGGCAGATAACAAATAGCTGATTGAGCTGTGGGGGGAATGTCTATGATCTTTCAATATCCTCTGTTCAAAATTCTAAAGCTCGGTAAGAATGTAGACTATGGAGCCACAATTATAAGCTGTGTGACTTCAAGCAAGTCACTTAACCTTCTCTGAACCACTTTTCATGGCATCTACTCTCATAGGGTTGTTTTGAGGCTAACAAGAGTTAATAGGTGGAAGCACTCACAACCCAGCTGGGCCTACAAGCGTATGCTATTATTTCAAATCCACAACCCCTTTTGCACAAATCCAAAAGCCAAATATGCTCTGAGTACTGAAGGCTTTTCCAAAGAAACATAGCAAAACATACCGGGATCAGGTATAAGGCATCATCAGAACAAAAAATCTTACCATAGTGAATGATGGGGGAAGTGCAGAGTGGAGACCCAAAGCCCATTAGTAGTCCACTGGACATCCCCTTGCAGAGGGGCCTCAGGGAGGAGAAAAGCCAGTCAGGGTGTTTTGTAGCAACGATGAAAAATACAACTTTCCTCTAGTTCCTAAATGTTTTCTCCCCGCTCCCACTATCATGATCCGAATTCTACCTTGCAAGTCTGGCTAGACCAGAGGAT